TTGACTGAGACATTAAAATTGGATGGAAAAGCAGGCAAGGACTAGTTGCAGCAAGTTATAAATGTCAAACTATTGAGTTTGGGGTTCACCCTCTCAAGAATCAAGAGCGATGGCACTTAAGCAGGGAACCTGACAAGTGCGGCCTCATAATAGAAGTCAGTCTGTGATGGCACAGCAGCCGAATGAGACAGCAAAAAACATGACTGCAATAACCTGGGTTTAATGGGTAGGAAGGCATAATAGCAGTAATTGGATCACAAAAGGAATTTAAGAAACATTTTGATGCAGTGACTAGAGGTGAAAGAAGAGGGATAAAGTCAAGGGGTGACTCAGATTTCAAACCTGAGATGGCAATTTTGGTGAGGAATTTTCTTCTGTTTGAGATTTTAATCTTTGCACTAAAAACATTGTAACAGGCTGGGAGTGGGAGCACATGTATTTTTAGACAGCAGGCAGATTTCTGTAAGTTTTAGGCCAGCCTGGTCTACATAGCAAGTTCCAGGCCAGACAGGGCTATATGTATATGGTGAGACCTGGTCTCTAAAAACAAAAACAAACTCAAAACATTATAGCAGACTGGGTAGGGTAGCAACATGCCTGTAATTCCAGCACTTGGAGACAAAGGCAGGAGGATTGCTATGGGTATGGGAGGAATACATTCCCAGGCTTTGCCACCTAAAAATACTATTCTTGGAGGCATGTGTTACTGGGGGGTCAAACCCAGGGCCTTGGACATGCTAGGCAACCAAGTTACCATTGAGTTATACCTGGTCCCAAAATGCTTTCTTTTAAACCTCTCCATAAATATATTCCATGCTACTACTCTTTACAGTTATGCTCTTTCTTACATACACTTCCTGAAGTTGTTTTAGTAAATTTCATGTAAACACTCCTACCAGTTTTTATTTATTATAAACAAAGTTAGAGAGCCCCACTGCCATAGTTAGTATCTACACTTGCCTCCAGAGCACATAAACATGTTTTTCCTTCAGAATTTTTTTGCCCCTTAGGAAAATTTTACTTGAGTTAGAATATTAGGACAAAAGGCACCCTCACCCCCACCTCCTATCTCCCCACTCCCCCATCCCCACTTAGGATGGAACCAAAGACTGCACATGCTAGGCAAGTGCTCCACCACTGAGCTATACATCCTCAACCCTTAGGTGCAAAGTATTTTTATGATAAGTAAATCAATTGATTTCATGGATGTGAATGAAAAATTCAGAGTAAGACATTTATTATTACCTTACTGGAGGTAGCATAACACTACTGGTTAAAGGCTGGGATGTGGTTCAGTGGTAGATCAGATACCAAGCATATACAAGGTTCTGGGTTCCATTCCTAACAGAGAGCAGGTGTGGGGAGAAGACGAGGAAGAAGAGAAGAGGACGAGGAGGAAGAAGAAGAGGAGAAGAGAAAGGGGAGGGGAGGGAAGAGGAGCAAGATAGAACAGAATAGGCAGTGGCAACAATAACTGAGCTTAGTCAGAGGCTTAGGATCTAGACCTGCAAAGGTACCTGGAAGCCATGATCATAAACGTGACATTGAAGTCATAATATAGATAGGACTCCCAAGACAGAAAACTTAAGAGGATCAATGGCAGAACCTTGGCGCATGCCAAATTCTATGGAAAAACAGTCACTGAATAAGGCTGAAACTCAACCTGGGCATCATCAGAGTTGGGGGACAGAAGTGAAGAGAATTATGGAAAAGAGAAGTTTCTGCTGAAACTTTTTTTAGTAGAGACAGGATGGGCCAGAGGATCAAGGGAAACAAAGAAGCTGGTGTGTCGGTGCACACCTGGACACCCAGCAATGGGGAAGTTGAGCCAGAAGATCACCACAAACTTAAGACCAACCTGGACTACATAGTGAATTTCAGGCCACACTGGGCTTCGTGGTGAAATATGGAAGAGGAGGAGGGAGGAAGACAAAGACTCAAAAAAACCCACTGCAGCTAGAACTAAAAAGACTGCTGCCAACAGCACGTAAGTATGGGAGAAACTGAAAGAGGGCGCACAGTTTAAAGTACAGGGCAGGTGAAAAGAGGGGTCATGGAGCCAAGACAGGTTAGAAAAGGAAAAGGCAAAAGGGTACTCAGCACAACAGGACAGAACAGGAATTATATTTCACCAATGGGAGCATGTGTGGAGATCTATTTTGCTATTTTGTGTTCTTAATGATTCAAGTTAATGGACAGGAATAATAGCATGCATAATCCAAAAATAACTTGTCTTTGGTTTTAGAATATATTAGATGAATTTTCTTCGTAGCAGAATCTATTTCTATTTTGCTTAGGCCACTGTTTAATTCTTAAGTACTTACAACACTCTGCTTGCATCAGACCTTTAGACTCTTTTCATTACCATGAAAGCTCTATTCCTTAAGCGCATAGCTGAAAAAAAGGGGTGATTTGGAAGCAAGCTGGAGATATTGGATGGTAAGGGAGAATTGGCCTATAACTGAATGTCAACATGGAATAAAAACTCAAAGAGCCCATATACAGATAACTAGGAATATCACACTAAGATGACTTTTTTTGTCTGTGATGTTAGGGATCAAACCCAAAGCCATGCACATGCCAGGCAAGTATTCAACCACTGAACTACATCCCAGCCCTGAAAAGAGAATTCTTCCCTGAGCATTTAACCTTAACCTGTGGATGACCTGTGATGAAATACAAAGGTGACTGCAAAATTTGAAAGCTGTTTAACCAAAATTTATAGATACTAGTTACAAAACAAACTAGGACTGAGCCTGCAAACCTAGCTGCAAACCCCCAAGACAGCCTCTTTGGCTAAATTCACTTTATTACTATATTAGATGTGCTCTTGACAGTAGCAGTAGCCATCAAGCGCCTACACGCTGAAGGCCAGGCACTTGGCTACGTCTTGTGTACATATTCTATTGCCATAACAGTCCTACTCCCTGTTTTGGGGGCTTTCTCTCCCTCCCTCCCTCTCTCTCTCTCTCTCTGAGACAGGATCTCACTAGATAGCCCTGACTTGCTTAGAACTTGCTATGTAGACTAGGCTAGCATCAAACTCACAGAGATCTGCCTGCCTCTGCCTCCTGAATGCTGGGATTAAAGTTGTGCACCACCATGTCCAGCATATTATTCCCCCTCTTTACAGGTGGTGTGATGGTTAGCTTTAATGATCCACTTGGCATAAAACAGAATCAGCAGGGAAGGATTGTTTACATTGGGTTGGCCTATGGGCAACTTTTTAAATTAATACCCACTCTGGGCAGCAACATTCCCCAGACAGGAGGCCCTGAACTGAGTGGAGAAATCAAGCTGAGCACAAGCACATGAGCGAGTATGCAGCTCGCATTTCTCTGCTCTTACTGTGGATGTGATGGGGCTGTCTTCTTCAGGTTCCTCCCACCTTGATTTCCCTGCACTAACAGACCATAATTGTGAGCTAAAATAACCCTTTTCCTTAAGTTGCTTTTTTAAGTTGCTTTTTGCCAAGGTATTTTTTTTAGAAGATTTAATTTTTTTCTTTTTTTTCTCTTGGTCTTTTTGAGACAGGGTCTCCCTGTAGCCCCAGCTGGCCTGGAACTCACTATGTAGACCAGGCTGGCCTTGAACTCACAGAGATCCGCCTGCCTCTGACTCCCCAGTGCTGGGATTAAAGGTGTGCGCCACCACGCCCGGCAATTTTTTTCTTTTTAAAAAATATTTAAAATTTTTTTATCTTATGTATATGAGTGTTATGCTTGCACATATGTAAGTGTGTACAATGTCTGCGGAGGCCAAAAAAGGGCATTGGATCCCCTGGAACTGGAGTAATGGAGAGTTGCTAGCTGCCATGCGGGTGCTGGGATTCGAACCTGGGTCTTCTGAAATAGCAGCCAGTACTCTTATTCGCTGAGTCCTCTCCCCAGCCCCACTGTCAGCTTATTTTTTATCATCGCAACAGAAATTAAATTAGGACAGGTAGTAAGGAAATTAAGGTTCAGAGAAGGTCTATCTAGAACCAAAGCCCAACTTGCTGTTGTTCTACATACTACCTCTCTATCAAAACCAAGTCCTTGCCTATTAGTAAACAAAACAGAAAATACCAACCTGCTCTGAAGTAGACAAGGGAAGGGGCAAGGACCCTAATTCCTTCAGCAATTCATTTGTTTCCTTGGCGAGCTGATTTGTGGAGTGTTGTAACTGTTGCCTAAGAGAGAAAAGATAGGCGTCAGGATGCTGTCACTTCTTGAGAGCTGCTGTATTATTACTTTGTTTTCTGGGTATCTCACAGGGCAATGAATGAAGGGCCATTTGAAAAATTGGATGCTTCGATGCCTGTGCTCACAAACCTACTTCAGGGCATCCTCACATTATTAAAGAGCCTCGTTGAGCAGAAAGACCCTGAATGATACCTGCTGAAGGAAGCACCAACCAGGAATTTCAACTCTTTGGGGAGAAAAGACAAGCACATCAGCAATTCTGATAGAAAGAGGAGTAATATCACTACATACACCTAAATCTAATGGTTTAACACATGAACTCACTCACAAAATTCTCACTGAGTTTCCCAAGGGAAATATCTGTCATGTTCCTCTAACTAGTGTGGTTGGATGAAACTTGTATTAAAAGCATGGTTTCCAGCAGGGTGTGGTGGCATATACCTTTAATCCCAGCACTGGGAGGCAGAGACAGATCTCTGTGAATTTGAGGCCAGTCTGGTCTAGAGCCCCAGGCCTACCAGGGTAACAGAGCTGCACCCCTCTCCCCTCAAGAAGAAGCATAGCTACCTACCTAAAGGAAAAAACTCCAAACACTATTCCTAAGTTCTTGCTTAAAGGGTGACTCTGATTCTTTGGAGCTTTATCTTTTGCTTCCCTACCATGCTCTCTATGCTTGACTTTCTGGCTCTTCCCTCCAAAACAAGACCCATGCTGTTTAAAGCACGTGTCTCTTGTGCAAGGTACTAGGTTTAATTTCTAGTGTCATAAAAAGTAACAACAACAAATACAAAAAGAATTTGGGTGCTGGGCAAAGTAGGATGCACCACTAGTCTCAGTTACTGAGGCTGACGCAGGAGGATCCCTTGAGCCCAGTAGTTGGACGTCGGCCTATAGTGGGGTGCCAAGGAAGGAAAGGAGGGAGGAAGAGAAGGATGAAGTGGGGGAGAAATTCAAGAGGAAAGAACATGCAATATAAAAAGTGAGGTTGCACTGTAATGGAAATACAGAAAGAGCTGTTTTCCCTATGGTTCTCTCCACGCCTGCCACATCTGCACAGGTTTTAAGGGATGACAGAGAAACCGCATGCTGTGGTCTGAACTCAAGTTGAACTCTCAGCCCCCAAGTGATGTTATTAGGAGGTAGGACTAGAACATGATTAAGCTAAGGGTGGGCCTTTCATGAACGAATTAATGCCCTCATAAAAGAGGCACCAGAAAAAAACTGATTTGCCTTTTCCACCAACTGAGGACAGAGTAAGAAGGCATCATCTGCCAGATGTGGTGGCATAGGACTTTAATCCCAGCACTTGGGAGGCAGAGGCAGGTGGATCTCTGGGAGTTTCAAGCCAGCTAGGTCTATATGGCAAGCTCCAGGCCATCTTGAGTTATAGGGAGACCCTGTCTCAATAATAATTAATAGTAATAATGATAATAAAATAAATAAAAGTAAAATTAAAAAGAGCAACAATAACAAGAGGGAGCCAATCAGGAGCCAGAACATCCCAGACACTAGGCCACTCCGATGCTCTTCCTCCCCTGGAGCTCCCGTGATAACAGTCACTCTCTCACTTCACAAGCTCCAGAAGAGGAAACAAAGAAGGTTGCTAAGATGAAGACCAGAACTTTAAAGTTTTAAAACTAATAGCTGGGCATGGTGGTGCACACCTTTAATCTCAGCACTTCAGGGGCAGAGGCAACAGGTCTCAAGGTCAACTGGATCTACATAGTGAGTTCCAGGCCAGCTGGGCTACAGGGAGATCCCGTCTCAAAATGACAAAAAAAATTATTCTATTTTATTTATTTTGTGGGCATGTGTATATGTATGTGGGCACAGGTGTGCCAGGATGTACATGTAGATGTTAGATGACAACTCGCAGAAATCAGTTCTTTCTTCCCATAATGTTGGTTCTAGGGATTGAACTCAGGTTGTCAGACTTGGTGACAAGTATCTTTACCCACTGAGTCATCTCACTGGTCCCAAAGAACAGACCTTTTTTTGAGACAGGGTCTGCCAGTAGCCCCAGATGGCCTGGAACTCTAGACCAGGCTGGCCTCGAATTCAAAGAGATCCACCTGCCTCTGCCTCTGTAGTACTAGGATTAAAGGCAAGTGCCACCACGCCCAGTAAAGAATAGAACTTTTACAGCAGAAATGAAGTCAAGAACAAAATCTGATTTTTTAAAAAAGGAGGATTCTACTCCAGACCATTCATTCTCTCCCTTATACTCCCTTTGGATCATTCTGAAAAAACTGCTCTTAAACATTTGGAATCCAACTAGAGCAAATCATGAGGAGTACTGCACCAACAAACAGGCCCATTTACACACGGGCTTAAGAGTGGAAAGAGTTCCTTCTCTATGTCCCTAAATTCTCCCGCTAACCCGACCAAGGGAAGAAGCAGTTCAAAGCTTTTGAAAGGCAGAAATCTTGATCCAGTCCCACACTTTGCTTCCCCTCTATCAGATCCAGCTATTGCCACCTGACCCCGTCTCCCATTCTGACTTCACAGACTGGAAATGTAAGGACACTAAGTACATCCTGAAAGGGCCCTCACCAAACTCAATCTTGTTAGGAAGCTACTCACAGATTTTCCTGTAGCTTGCTTGAGTCCTGCTTAGTTCCAAGTTGGCTCATCAAATTCTTTATCTGAGCAGCTAGAAAGAGGGGGAAAGACGTATTTAAAAAACAAATACATTCATAATGAGCACCTACCTCTCAGATCACTGGTCTCTCCATGTCCTAAGTCCATGCTACTAACAGAACCTATGCTGAGACCACAATCTCAGCATGCACTTTCCTCCACAGTGACTTACAAGGTTCACCTTTCTGAGTATGTCACTCAACAGAAAGTGGGAGTTTTGTTGATCATCTCCTAAGAATTGACTAATTTTTCTAGATATTCCCTAGTATTGGTGAAACATTTCATCACCTTTAGGACTAAGAGGTATTTAATTGATAATTCACATACCTAAAACCCTAGGTTTAATCCCAGTTTAAAAAAAAAAAAAAAAGCAGCAATTACCAAACACCAACATGAATCTGCAACAAAATTTTCTGATTTGTTCTTTTGAGACTGTCTCACTCTGCAGCCGAGGCTGGCCTCAATCACCCCACTGTCCTCCCACTTCTACCTCTGGAGTGTTAGGATCATAAGTGTGAATCACCACACCCAGCTCGCAACAAAAAATAAATCCTGGGGCTGGAGAGATGGCTCAGTGGTTAAGAACAGTAGTTGTTCTTGCAGAAGACCCAGGTTCGAATCCCACATGGCAGCTGACAACTGTCCATAACTCCAGTCCCAGGGGATCCAACAGCCTCTTCTGACCTCTGCAGGCATTGCGCAACACAGGAGCACTTACCTACATGCAGGCAATACACGCATATACATAAAATAAAAATAATAAATAAAAAATTTTTTAAAAAGCCGGGCGTGGTGGTGCACACTTTTAATTCCAGCACTCAGGAAGCAGAGGCAGGCGGATCTCTGTGAGTTCGAAGCCAGTCTGGTCTCCATAGCGAATCCAGGCCAGCTGAGGCTACAGGGAGACCCTGTCTCAAAAAGACCGGAAAAAAAAAAAAAAAAATCCTGGTTAGGGATCACTGGTGGTACATGTCTTTAATCCCAGCACTTGGGGGGCAGAGGCAGGTGGATTTCTGTGAGTTCAAAGCTAGCCTGGTCTACACAGTGAATTCCAGGTCAGTCAGTGCTACATAGTGAGACCCTGTCTCAAAAAATAAAATAAATAAAAATTAATTAATTGAATCCTTGGGGGCTGGCAGTATAGTTTAATTTGTTAGAGTGCTTGTTTAGCATGCATGAAGTCCTGGATTCAATCCATACCACTGCATAAAAAACCATGGTGGTGCATACCTTGTAAATTCAAAAGTATCCTGGGCTACATAACAAGTTCAAGGCCAGCCCAGGATACTTGTGACCCTTTCTCGAAAGCAAATTTATCTGCCAATACAAACTAACTTGAGGTTGTAAAGATGGCTCAGAGGTTAAGAGCACTGGTTGCTCTTTGCAGAGGACCTGGGTTTGGTTCCCAGCACCCTTATGGTGGCTAACAAGCGTCTGACTCCAGTTCCAGGGGATCCAACACTGTCTTCTGGCCTCCGAGGGCACTGCACAACACAGGTGTACTACAGTAATAAGCTCATACACATAGTCCAAACTATACCAAATATTTTTTGGAAAGACAATGCACGTTTATTATTAATAGCAGGTTAGAGTAGGCATGGTGGCACATGCCTTTAATCCCAGCACTCAGGGGGCAGAGGCTGGTGGATCTCTACGAGTTCAAGGCCAGGCTGGTCTACACAGTGAGTTCCAAGCCAGCTGAGGCTACAGGGAGACCCTGTCTCAAAAAGACAAAAAATAAAATAACAGTTAATATTGATTAAACACTTTTACATGCCAAATACTATCCTAAGTTGCGTATGTACTCTTACTAATTTTCATAGCAATAGTCTAAAGTAGATATATCTTCATTTTA